CTTCAGCAAACAAGGGCGAGCCTGCTGCTCTGTTTCCACAAAAAATTTGAGCAAGTTTCCATTTGCACTGTCAATTTTTAAATATATGAGTGTTTCTCCCCTTGATTTGGAAGAAGAACACTGGAATTTTGGGTGCTGAAAGGACAGGATGAACACTGACCTCGTCTCTGCTGCTGTTGCCTTTCGTTTTCCTATTACCCCAATGAACTCTCTCTGTTGTAGAAAAAGCCTTTAATGTATGATCATAATTTAAATATTGTATCTGTCCCTTGATGGGTGGTAGGAAAGCCTTCCCTTTTCCTCGACTGCTCTCCAGTAATCCCCAAAAGGTTTGAAAGCACTCCCATTCCTCCTTGGAGCTGTTCCATATCGATCGCTGAATCCAAAATAACCTGCGTGTCTGAATCTCACACATCTCTTGTCTTCTAAAGCTGCGACACCGAGCTGGGAATGGGATGGGAGAAGCTGGATTAGATGTTTAAAACCTCGTACCTCTGAGATTTAATCAACAGTGATTGCCTGTTAATTTTTAGGAGTAATTATAACGCACCACCTGGGGTACGAGCTGACGCGTGCGGGCTTGTTTCTCTTTGTGCTTTTTCCCCTCCCAGGTTCCCCCTACGACTTCATCTCTCTGGAATGGCTGCAGAAATGGCTGGATGAGTCCACTCCTCCCAAACCTATTGATAACACAGCCTGCCTGTGCTCCCACGGCAAGCTCCATCCCGATAAGATATCCCTGATGAAGAGAATATCGGAATACGTGGCCGACTTCTTCTACAGGCGATACGGAGGAGGGCCCCGGCTCAACGGTAACCTCCTGTGCTGGGTGTCTTCTAGAGCCCTGCCCTGCTCCCAGCCCTGTTCTGAGACATCCTTTAGCATCAGAATTTTATTGCAGTGCTGTGATTTTTTAATCACACTTAATTCTGTTAGCATTCAACAAAGCCGTTCAGTGTGATTGCAGAGCCTGCTTGGCTCTGGGCTCTGCTCTGTCGAGGAAGAGCTGTGCCTGGAGGAATTGCTGAGAGGGCAATGAGGCACTTGGTTTAGAAAATACAGTACTTGGAAGGTGATTCTAGAAAATAAAACTTGCACAAGCAATGCCCCAAACTCTTGACAATTATCTTCTGTGCCTGCAGCAGCCACAGCTCGTGCGTGGGCTGAGTCTGGTGGAGCATTCAGGCCCTAAAATCATTCACTGTCTGTTACCTCACCCAAGGAAGCAGATACCTGACAGCCTATGTGCTCCTGTCAGGCATCTACGACACATTCTGCTTTTTGGGATCAGTCCAGCCCCTCCAAGGCTTTGGACATCCCTTCATCAAGCCCCAGGGCTTCGTTCCTTTTAGAAAGGAGCTCAGTAACTCCCACTGAGACCAAATTAGCTCAGCTCCTACTAGGAGCTTGTAGGGAAGAAACTGCTTGTGGCACAGGCAAGCTTTGTGGGGAAAAACAGGGCAAGGTTTATTAGTCAAGTGGAAGATTGCCTGAAAGGTTGTGGACTGAGTATGGCTGGGAGGGAGGGTTGGATGAAGGGATGGATGGACATGCTGCTCCCAGATGAAAATATGTAAAATATACTCCCAGCTGTAGGATTTCCACTGCTTTGGTCCAGTGCAGCTTTGCAGGAGGGTGTTTCTTCTGGGTTTAGCTGGTGAAGTGCCACAACACGGGTGTCCTGCCTTTGACTCCTGTGGCTGTGTGCTGGGGCCACCTGACTCCCTGTAACTGCAAGCTGGTGCTACCAGCAGCTGTGGGAAGCTGAGTGGAACAGATCACACCTCATCTGAAGCATTTTATGCTTCTTTAAGCTTCAGATGTGGCCTGATGTGCTGTCACCGCAGGGGTCCCCTCATTTACATGTGCAGCCTCTGGTCCCTGGCAGGGTGGTTGGCACACACCTGTCTGAAGGCCTTCAATCCAGCAAGAAACTGCCTGTACAATAAATACTGCAATAAATCGTGTCTCTTTTTTCCCCCCCCACCCCAGTCAAAGCACTTTGCAAGGACTGTGTGGTGGAAAGATGTCGAATCCTGCGACTCAAAAATCAACTGAATGAGGACTACAAAACCGTGACCAACCTGCTGAAGATAACAGTCAAGGGGTATGTAAGGCCCAAATGCTGCCAGAGATGCTATGCTAGAAGTCTTAAATTGCTTTCTTTTATCAAGATTTTCTCATTTGGGCTCTGAAGGAGAAGGGAGCTGTGGTGGCAACGCTGTTGTCTCCCTGCAGGAACGACGGGTTTTGGGTGGGCAAGGCGTCCCTGAGGAGCTGGCGCCAGCTGGCTCTGGAGCAGCTGAACGAGCAAGATGAAGATGCAGAGCACAGTAATGGAAAAATGAATGGAAATGCACAAAACAAAGGTATTTCTTCCTGATTTCTGCTGCTGGAGAAACCCACCAGTTCTGCCTGATCCTTCTAACAAAAGATGCATCAAGTGTTTCTGTAGTTGTTTTGCTGCCCTTGTATGAGCAGGGAGGAAAGGATAATGAATACACTAAAAAACTCCTTCATTTAAGGAGCTTTTTGTTTGCTAAGTTTTGCAAACTGGAGTGATCTTTATACCTGGAGAGGGAGATGAGGTGGTAAGTGGTTTTGCAGCAACACATGATCTTTTCATCCACTTCTCTCTGAATGAGATGCCACAGGGGGAGGAAGAAACATGAAAATTACCTTGAGGAAGGGATGATGATTATGTTTATTGTGAAGTTTCAGGATGACACAGCACAGCTGATGCAGCAGCACTGGGAAAACACAGTCTAGGGAAAAAAACATGAATTGAACTCAATTCTGTGCCCATATGATGAGAATGAATGGAGGGTTTATTTGCTTTCTGCATTTTAAGCCGCTGGAAGTTCTGTTTTGTTGTGTTTTTCGAACTGAGAGTGGAATGAAAGTGGAGATGATGGCTGATAGCTTTGATCTTGGGCTTGGAGGCTTGAGAGCACCCCAACCCCCTGGAATACCTGGTGGAGCATTCAGTGAGAAAAGGGTGTCTGAGCTAGCACTCATCATTCCTTGGGGGTGGCTTGGATTCATAACGGGTTGCAGTTCCCAGTGGTGCATTTGCATTACTCCCAAGCCAGGTCGCTCGTTAGGCAGCTCGTTAGAGGCTCCTACTGACACCTCTTTGTCTTTGGGATGCTCCATGCAGTGCTCAGTGCTCCTGTCTGTGGAGTTAGGGATTTAGACGCTGATGTGGGGCTTCTCAACACCCTGGCTGGCTCCCCCTCGGTTTCTCAGGCAGCATCTGGTTTAGATCAGGAATTTTGCCAGGAATTCTGCTCCCTTTGCTCTTACCTAGGCTTGTGTTTAGGTTAAACTCAGATCTTTGGGAGCGGTGAACCCCTGTGGTGTTCCAGCCCTAACAAATGCATCCTTTGTAGTCTCACAAAGGCCTGGCTTGTGCTCCACACACTTCAAAGCCCTCCTACGTGGCCTGGAGGCTGTAATCCCGCCTGCCCAGGGGCCAAGACATCGGAGAATAACAAACTTCCTTCCAAACTTTCCCTTGGGTTGAGGGTTTTGCTGTAATTTGAAAGGCGACTGTGCTCCTTTTCCCCCAAGACTTTTCCTTGGGAGAGGAGCTCTGTGCAATCCTCTTGTATTGTGATTTCTTTTAATTAGATGAATCAAATGAAGAGAAGAGGGAGGAGGAAGAGGAGTTAAATTTTAATGAAGACATCGTTTGCCCACATGGTAAGTCTCTCCGGGAGCTGGAGCTGAATGTATCCCTTGTTGCCCACTGCTCCAGACATTAACCTTGCAGCCTTTGCTCTGACTGTGGCCAGCACGAGGAGTTACTGCAGAAATGTGCTTAATTCTCATTTTCCTGGTGTTTCTTGCACTCAGACTTACAGGTTTTATTAGCAGGCAGTTAGCCGTTGCAGTCAGAGTCTGTGAGGACTATCCAAGCTGGGATGCTGAGCTTCACTTCCTCTCCCCGTGGGCAGCACCAAAGCTCTGCAGCCACTTGGAAGCTCTAAGAGCATTAAGAGAGAAAGAGGAGGTGTTAATCACTCCAGGTGGGAGCTGAGAGTGTCGGTCTAATCTCCTGGTTTACATTCAAACAGGAACACTCACCTAACACCTGGGCTGGGGCCACGCTGGATATCGATTTCTCAACCTGCTGTGCTTTGGTGTCTGTTTACAGAAGGTTTTGACCCATGTCAGTTGTTTTGCTAAGTGATGCCTCATTACCTGCATCCTTGGCTACCCTGGTGTTTAAATCTCACTTTTTTAGCTTGTATTCCCAGACAGAGCTCTGTTCTAGCAAGCTCCTGTTTGTAGGCATCAATTCCCCTATCAGGGATGTTCCATCTTATCCCTAATAAGAAAGAGAAATGCCATAAATTAGCCACACACCTCTTGTCATCAAGGCTAATCAAGAATCTGGAGTAAGGCTTGATAAACCTCATTTTCCAGCAGCGTTTGAGCACTTTGTCACGATTTTAGCTGTTACTCAGAGCCTTGAACGCTGCATTTCCCGTTGCCTCAGGGCTGCTGCTGTTCACTAAACGCTCGGAGTGCAGGGATGGAAGGTTTGTGGAGCCAGACATGATGAAAAATAGGCCAATAGGCCTTTGGAAAATATTATGGTGTTAAATTGCTGGTTGATCTGTGACTTTGGGTCACGGCAGAATAAATAACACAAAATCAGGAGGCTGCTGGCAGGGCAGGTTTTGTTGTCTTGAGCTAACCTCCAATTATTCATGGAAAACAACCTTTCCACCTTGAAAAATTCCCTCTGGAGTGCATCAGCAAATCTGTAGTCTTGTTCCTACAGACTTAATTTTGTGGTGGAGGAGGTTCCTGCCTCCATGGTAGGCTCTGGAAGAGGCAGCCCTGGATCTGGGAGGGCTGGCTGG